CCCCAAAACCCCAAAACCCCAAAACCCCATAAGACTGTAATCAAGGAATGAGTTCAAAATTATTCAATAATTTAGAATTATCTAATAAAATAATAATTAAACTATGGAAAGAAAATCTGACAAATTAGCTTTAGAGCAGCAATTTCCATCTATAATTAAGAGTTATTAATTCATTGAGACACTTGGTGTAGGAGCTTACGGAATGGTCGCTATGTATTATAATTAGACTGATGAATAGTTTTATGCTATCAAATTAGAGTCAGCAGAAGCAATGTAACAATCTCTATTAAGAGAAAAAATGTTTTTGCAACAATTATTGGAGGAAGACGAGGAACGAGAATTACCAATTCCTTGGATTTACGATTACGGAACTACTAAAAATAACTAAGGCAAGAGTTTTGTCTATTTAGTTATGGACTATTATAATTTTTCTTTGGAGGAATACTACTAGCTTCATATACTTAATGGTGATGATTATGACCAATACATTCATTAATTGAAGGAGTTTATCGGAAAACTACTAAATTGTTTAGTCAAATTTCATTCTAAGAATAGAATTCATCGAGATATTAAAGCTCAGAATATGAGAGTAGGTATAAATTCAAATTTTTAAGATGAAGAGTCATCTGAATACTAGGTATACATGATTGACTTTGGGACATCTCTGCTTTCATCACAGATTAATACTTAACGTTAAAATAACGATTTGATTGGGAGCACTATTACAGCTTCAAAATTTATTCACTAGGGTCTTTATTACACTTAATACGATGACTTGATATCAGCACTTTATACCATACTATTTCTAATTCAAGAGGATAATACTTTTATATAAGAATTAATAGAATTTTCAAATAAAGATTAGTCCTTAGCAAATCAAGAGGCAGTAAGATAACTAAAAGAATAATTAAACCCTGCTTATTTTGGACTTAATATAGCCAAGAATATCATTACATTGATAAAAGAGATCGAAATTTAAGTAAATGATAAAAGACCTCTTATCAACACAGATTATGTAGATGCTTAGAGTCTTGTAACAAAAATATTTAAAGAAGAAGAGATATTTATTCCAAAAGAAATTACAATTAAGGAAAAAATTAAATGATTTTTTGAAAAAGGTGAAAAGATAAAGAACAAAAATATGAATGCAAGTGACAAAATTGAATCTAACAAAATTATACAACAAAATATTCTTTTGAAAATAAAAAAATAAAAAAAAAATAATGATCTAAAAAAATTGGCTTAGCAAGAGAAATAATAAAAGAAGTAGGAGATATAACAGATTTAAAAAAGCAAGTAAAAACAAAAAGAGATCTAATGGAAACCATGAAAATTTTGAATTAGTAAATAAGCAATAAAATATTTTAATATATTACTTTAATTAATTATAGTGCATAATGTTTATTTAGAAAATACATCAATTAATTATTCAAAATTTTACATTCTCAAATATTTAGTATCTAAGGGGTTTTGGGGTTTTGGGG